TGTGCAAAAAATAAGAATAAATAAATAAATAACCTCAAAATGACAGAATAAAACAAATATTAAGATTTTATTCAAAGCCATACCTAATTAATAAAACAAATACCATGGTAAAAAAATAATTGAAACTTTTGTTGTATATGTTTATTTATGGTTTAGCAGAAATATAAGCAAATCTTTTTAATTATTATAATTTTTTTTTAAATGAGCCCGTCATTCAGATTCACCTGATGAAGTTGACAGTGTGTCATTTCTTTCCTCATCAGAATAGACTGTTTGGCCAAATTCTCCATGGCTTCAGAGCAGTTTAGTCTGCTCCCCTTGACTGGTCTCTCGGTCACGCCGGACCACCTTCCACAGTCATTTTTCCACATTTAAGCTCTTTCGGTCACGCTGGTTAGGCCTGCATCAGGAGCTGGACTGAAACTGCAGTGTGTGATTTGAGCATCTTGTGCAGGAGGACAAGGACCTGCTTCTGTTAAACTAGGGTTTCTGTGCACTTAAAAAAAAAAAAAAAACGGTTTAACATCTAAATATTACACTAAAGACTGACTATTAATGCTTATAATTTCTAGTTCTAATTTTATTTTTTATTCCAGCATACAACTAAACATACATTGCTTTCAGTTTATTTATTTATTTTTTCCAGTTAGTAGTTTCATTAGGTAGAGTGGCACGGTGGTGCAGTGGATAACGCTGACGTCTTACAGCAAGAGGGTTGCTGGTTTAAGCCCTGGCTGGATCAGTTGGCATTTCTGTGTAGAGTTGTGATCTTCCAGTGTTCACAAGGGTTTTCCCTGGGTACTGCAGTTTCGCCCACAAGTTTAAATACATGCACTATAGATGAACTGGGTAAATTAAATTGGCCGTACTGTAAGTGTGTATATACCTGGTTCACCAGATTGGAGGTTGAGCATTGGGCTAACAAGCCAACTTCGTAATAAATTTAACACCACCATGGTGTGGCTAAATGTCAACTTTGACATAAACAGCCCTGAAAGTAAGTTTCATTTGTTAACATGTATTTACCAACACAAGCTAAGTAGGAACAATCTTTTGCAGCTTTTATAAATAATCATAATGCTACTTTTGCAAAATTCTAAAGATTTGCTTTTTACATTCGTTAATGTACCTTTTCTTAACAAGAACTAAGTATATGATTGACTTTATTTCCATTAACTGATGTTAACATAGATAAATAAATGCTGTAATAAGTTTATTGTTCGTTTTTTTATTGGTGGTAGTAAATACATTGACTAATAAAAGTGCTTTGTAAAATTTTATTGTAATTTGTACGTAATAAAAAAAGTAATTCAAAATCTAAAGGTTGTCGCTTCACCTCACACCAAGAAAGTCATTGGTTCAAGTCCAAGCTGGGCCAGTCTTTGGTCTTGTGGGGAAAATCAGAGCACCCAGAGGAAACCCACTGCTCCACCACATCACCCCCAAATTCAACATATTATTATAAATATTAATATAAACATTCGTGCCTTTCACATCAGCGAGAGAAAGGTAGTGCTTATATTTCTAACTTGCAAAAGCTACGTTTGAACTTATTGGATTTGCCATCGTTTTGTTGTTGGTGTGTGCGACTGACTGTACGTGTGCTTGTGTGTGAACATCCACACTATGCCTCTGGCAGAAGATAGAAATGTACTTTATCTATGCCAATCATCACTTTCTTAATTACACAACGTTCACAGACAATCATCATCAGTGGTTGGTTATGTGTCCCGAACACCGAACACACACACACACACACACACACACACACACACACACACACACACACACACACACACTGACATATGACACTGCTCATATGTAAACCGATACAGTGTTCTCAATAATAGTAACACAAAATGTTGTTGTAACGGAAGTAACAACTAACGGAGTAGAAAAAGTATCACCGTCTATTTATAGCACCGTTATTCCCATCTCTGTCTGTGACGCACTCATCAGTATAATAGTTTGTTGATTAATATCAACAAACAAAATAACACTATTATTTAAGGCAAGGATTATAACCATGGGTGTATGTTTATAATAAAAAAATAAATGAATAAATAAAAATAAAATAAAATAAAATAATAACAACTGTACTCTTCCAGAGTGAGTAAAAGGGCTTGCAAAATCACTCTGGATGCCTTGCACCCAGCACACTACCTGTTCAAATTATTACCGGCTGGTCGGCGCTTAAGAGCACCAAGCACAAAAACAGCCAGACACAGGCAAAATTTCTTTCCTCAGGCCATCTACCTTATGAACAGATAAATATTCCCCAACTGTGCAATAAATATGTGCAATACTTTCTCATACGCACTTGTACAAAGCACCTTATATAAATATACAATGCAATACTTTCTCCATTCGCATTTGTACAAAGCACCTTATAAACTGTATGTTAAAACAATCTGTACATACAATTCAACATCCAGTTTTCTTGACTTACTGCATCTTTGTTTAATGTTTATCATATATATTTTTTTAATATTTATTTTGT